AACTGGGAAGCGTTTTATTTTTCTCATCAAAGCCAGGTTTTACTTGCATTTGGTTTTAGTGTTAAGTTTGGACCCTGTCTGTAATTAAAAGGCACATATGTGATGCAGACATCAACACTACAGTGCATCCCAGTGTCCCCAGAGAGGAGTCGTCCTATTTAAAGTCCCTTAGGATCAGGGTAAGGAGGGGAGAGCTGCCTCCACTCGGCCTGTCATCACTTACGTGGGACGGAATGTAGATATCGTACGGATTCCCAGAGTCGACATCTATCACATGAAAACCAACGCTGGAGCCATAGATAACCTTTAACCGCTGACCCTCCTCCACCGTCAGGTCCACAAGCATAGGCTTGTGCTGAAGATCTGTGAAAGACTTTGGAGAGACAGAAGAGACAATGAAAACACAATATACAGTATTCCCAAAGAAATATGCTCTGTGCAGGTGTTCTTTGACACACTCACAACACTAGTCACAAGTACTAAAATAGCTACTTATTTTGCACATTTTGTGCTCTGTCCTGCCAAATAAGTTCTAAGACCTGTTTTTCTTTTAAAGTAATGCAGTTCATTTAAAATTAACACACAAACGCTCTTTCTTAAGGGGGTAAAGGGGTCTCACTGGACCGAACATCAGTCTCACCTTGAAAGCCATGAATTTGTGGTAGGGTTTGGGAGCCCAGGCATAAATCTCCACTGAATTCTTCAATGCAATCACCAAGAACTTAATCCTCTCATATTTGACTGTTAAATAACAAATACATGTGAAAATATTATTAGTATTTTATAAACCACATTCTCCGTTTCTCTGTATCTCTCTCTAAATTAGGGGTGGGGCATATGACCAAAATCTTATATCACGTTATAGTTATTTTTGCTTTAAATAAGGTCTTTATGATATCAAAATTTTTGATACCATAGAAATTTAATCATTTTTGTCACCAGTGTCAATATCACAAAAACTAATACTAGCCTAAATAAAAAAAACTAAAAAAAAAACTCAAGCTTACTGAAGACAAGTAAACAGTCAGTGATTAAATAAGAATAAGATTAATTACAAGCAATAGGACAAAAAAACTACAGTAGAACAAATAAATAATAAATGCAACATACACTGTATATAAAGTAATCAAATGTATAAAAACACTGCATATTCTTTATAATGTAAATAAATATAGATTTCTTTTTATTAAAGTTACAAAAGTGATTTAGTCAAGAGCAGTGAGAGATTTTCTTTCTTTTGTTTGATTAACATGAACGACAGAAGCAGGAATATTAGACTGCTGTCATTTTAAGAGCTGCCCGGTTCCAATATACTGTTACACGTGTTTTCTTTCTCAGCTGTTTGCTTTCACTTTCAGACCTAGTGTTTACGAGAATACTTGCAAAGACAAGCATTTTGACACATAAAAGTGAGTAGTCAAAAGTGCAGTAGGAGATCTTGGAAAATGCTAACTTTATCCTGATAGCACTGAAAGCATACATTCCACCCTCCCTGCAATCGCCACAAAAAAAAATGTTGCGTTGCGTATCGCGCCGCGTAAACATAAAACCATGTCTGCATTTGTGAACGGAGAAACGACAAACAAGCACTACTCTACACTGCTCAAAACTTGCGTTTGAATCATCAGTGGCAAATTCTTTAAATATGAAAACGTACTTACAGGCTATGAGTCAGAAGCGCCAGACTGTCCTTGCAAAGTTGGAACTGCTCAACTTTATAGAAACAGCCTTTGTGCACAGACTGCATTCTAGTCTACTCTCCCGGGTTCAGGAAACAGTCCTGATTGCAGTTGCTGCACACATCTGAATATTTGGGTTGAACTGTTCTGGAACAGTGTTGTAAATATAACATAACCACTGATTTCTAGTTGTGTCCTCTTTTGGAAGGCCAAACAAAGTAGTTTCGCTTTTACCACGAAACACACAAGACAAATTGGGGCATTTGAAAGTAAATTACTGTTAAATTTAAAATAAATAAAACATAGTCTTACATTCAATTTAAACGTGGACGGGGCTTTCCTGATAACTTTCAGCGATGCCGCCATCTTTATTTTACTAACTTACTGCATGCAGAAGGTAACCCAGCTGACCTCACCAGAAAAAACTCAACACCACCATCTAGTGGGCTGTAAAGAAATTTATTTTATTATTCTACCAAATAGTATAATAAAAGAACGATACTTGGCGTCCGTGTATCGATACAGTATTGCCACGGAAAATATCGCGATACTATGCTGTGTCGATTTTTCCCCCACCCCTAATAGATATTTGTAATAAAAAATAAGTAAAATAAAAAAAAACAGATACATATGCACACATTTTACAAATATGGTTATATATGATATTTATTTGATATTTAACTATGTTTACGATTTTTTTACTTTATTAATAAGTAAATGAAAACCCATTAGTCACTATATATTTTTTTTCTGTAGTTATTCAGGTATTAAAACAATTATTCGGGCAAATAGACCAAAGGACATACCGACTTTATAATGGACACATCCCTCTAGGTCACCAACGGTAATCCACCCTTGTTTTTTTTCTACCTCAGGGTCATTGTGAAGTATCCTGTTTCTAAGCCATGACAGATAGTAGACCCTCAGTTTATTCTTTTTGCCTACAAAAAAAAAAGAGGAAGTATGAACCACTCATTACAAACAGATAATACACAGATCTAACAAAACCAACAACTTAAAACAGATCTTTGTACAGACAACTAGTGAGCTGATGATGAACTCACCTGATATGGTGACCAGGACATTGAGACCCTCCAGAACTTCCATCTGCTGAAAGCGCCTGCGGTTGATCAGATTGTAGACTTTGCCCTGACCACTGCGATCTAGTAACATGAGCCCATTTTCTGTTCCTACCAACAGATTCACTCCTACAGCAAACAAACGTAATGTAAAAACGATTTGTAGTTTATAATATGGATCTGAAGTGATATGAAGGCCTTTATGCTACTTTCATTTTAAGAAGTTTATTTTTATTTATATAGCGCCTTTCTGTAGCTCAAGGTCGCTTTACATATAAAAAGTAGTTTTGTACATCCACACAAGCAATATAGACACAAAGAAAATATTCTAACAGTCATTGAGTACAAAGTCAGAAAAAGTTTAGACTCACCCCATAGTGCCGCACACAGGATCTCAGAGTTGAAGCGCTTCTTGTACTTGCGGATTTCCGGTGTGTCACTGTGTGGCCTGATATTGGTGGGATTGACATTAACAACAGATATTTTCCGAGCCTCATTTAGTCGAGCTTGTTCCTGTTCCTGCTCCTGCCGTAGGAGTTCATCTGTAAAATGAGCTGTGTGACCAAACAAAAAGTCAAAAATATTCTTTGCAGTTTATCATCATATTAAGCAAGCTAAACATTAGTACCCTTTTCCACCAACAGTGTGTTAATGCCAGAGTCAGTGCCTAATCTGAGCATTTCTACTGTGGAGAAAGGCACCAGCACTGGCACTTTTTCAACAGAAAAGGGGATAAGAGGTAAATTAGACACCTGAGGCAGGGTTGTCCTCATCGTCCTCTGTGGGGGAGGTCTGATACACTCGTGGGTCCACAAAAGGAGTGAAGGAGGCTTTGGACCCGCTCCCCATCCCAAACTGTCAACGTGGAGAATCAGGAGTGAGAAACGAGCATCCACAAAACATACAAATGGTTTCTTCTAATGACTGATTGTAGGCAGCAAATGCAAGCATTTCTAGTATGAACTAACTGCAACGAGCAGAGTTTTGTCCGCAGTTAGAACAGTCCATTGATTGTAACATGTTAGCAGGAAAAGCAAGCACTTCAAAGTCTTTTTTGCAATCAGTATTTTGTCTTGTTTTCCAGTATATATATGCATGAACATTTTTCTTATTAATTTATTTCAAAATGTAACTACTGTTCAAAAGTTTGGGGTCTGTAAAATGTATTTTTTCATTTGTAAAATGTTAATTTATTTATCAAATAAATGCAGCCTTGGTTAGCATGAGATTAAAAAATACTATTACTGATCCCAAACTTTTAAATGGATATGTTACACATTTTTTAATGAATTAATCTTGTTAAAAGGATGTTTATACTGATTATTAATTTATTTTCTTTTTTAATAGGGAAAATGGGGCAAAGGGGAGAAAGCATCTTATTGACTGGCTGTGGTCCCACGTTTCAATGTTTCAAAAAATGTAAGCTCTAAATGATAGTAAATGAAATAAGGAGAACAAATAAGAACCAAACAGAAAAGAAGTAAAACCAAGAAAAGCAATGTGAGTTATGAAGAGATCTGGGCTTCTGTGCATCTACAGCCAGATAAACATGTGCATCTGAATCGAATAGGAATGGATTAGATGTGTCAGGTTAGAAATTTGAGGGTTGGAGTACAGGGTGGCTCTAACAGGCTTGTCTATCACCTACTTCAGCCACAGAGTCCAGGTCCAGCCCACTAGAAAGCCGCCCAGGGCCCTCGCCAGGCGAGTGGCTTTGCTGCACTAGATCAGGCAGATTGGAGTTACAGGGGAAACCATTGCTCTCGGCATGACCGAGCTTGCTTTCCCAAAACGTCTGCAGAGAGGAACAGAAAGAGGAGTAGGGCTACACTACTGCAGGGCCCTTGCATGGCTAAGCCATCTTGCAGAGATATTTGGGAAACGCACAGAGCGTGCCTCTGTCAGCAAGTGTGAGGCGAGCTTGATCAGAGATTTTGTTGGAGAATTCAGAAGCAAAAGATGTGAAAGAAACACCAAAATATAACCCAATAAAATTAAGGCTTAACCAAGGCAAAAATAAACATGAGTTGGTAAACTTAAAGAGAAATAAAACTGTGACACACTAGAGGAATGAGTGTAGGAGTTTTTGCTATCCGGGAAAGGAGCCTGTCTAGGTAGGTGCACCTACCTCTCGCATCATCAGGGTGCCGTCTTGTGAATTTTTGCCAAATGAATCATTGGCATGAGAATCCTCCTTGTTGACCAGTGAGTCGGTGCCACCCTGGCCAGCAGAAGGCCTGTTGGGAGAATAGAGCAAAAAAAAAAGACTTCTAATAAATAATGAACCTTTCTATAAGACATTTTAAAGACCCCTTGAAATGGTTGGCGAACACAAGTTTACTTTTTTGAGTTGAAATTAGTTATAGTTCACAATAGAGGTGGGCGATATGACCAAAATCTTCCATCACGATATGAGTAATTTTATTTCACGGTAAAATATATATATCATGATATGGTTGTTTTTGCTTTAAATAAGGTCTTTATGATATCAATATATTTGATATCATCGAAATAATGTTTGTCACCAGCATCAATATCACAAAAAACTAATACTAGCCTAAATTAAAACAAAAAACAAAACTCAAGCTCACTAAAGACAAATAAACTGTCAGCGATTACATAAGAAATTAATTACAAACAATAGAACGAAAAACTAGAGTAGAACAAATTAGAAATGCTACATACATTGTATAAAGTAATCAAATGTATAAAAACACAGCATATTCTTTGCTGTGTAAATTAAATATATATTTCTTCCTGTTAAAGTTACAAAAGTGATTTAGTCGAGAGCAGTGCGAGACTTTCTCTCTTTTGCTGTTTGATTAACATGAATGTTAGACAGCAGGAATATTAAACTGCTGTCACTTTAAGAGCTTCCCGGATCCAATATACTGTCGCACACGTGTTTTCTAAGAAACTCTTAGACAGCACGCGCATATAGGGAAATAAGTTCTCTTTCGCTGCTGATTGTGTTTCAACTGCATAAAATCTTAAAACCGGTTGACAAATTTCTACCAGTTAATCGTGTCTACCAGTATATTGCCCACCCCTAGCTCACAATGCAGGCTATTTCAAAATACTAACATACTATAAACAGTTTCTGTTTCTACTTTTTAAAATAGCAGGCAGTATCATATAAATATAGTGAGCAGCAAGTATTCTATTTCAAATACCAAAAAAAAAGAAAAAAGATTATAAACCATTTTGTTTAAAATTTCAATTAAATATAAATATTAGATGAAAAACTTCAAGCTTAAATGAAAATGTTCCCAGAAATGTTGCCTTGCCACCTACTTTAAATGTTTAGTTTGAAGTAGTAAACTTTCTAAAACAAATAAATAAAATAAAAAAATGTATGAAAAAAAACAAATACAAATGTCAAAGCATAAATTTCAAAAACTTAAACTAAAATTAAAATAAACTGAAAATACGAAAATAAAAGCCAATTCAAAACATCAATAAATGCTATAATAGTATATAGGTAATACTAAAATAACACTAAGACTAAAAACATTTTTGATGTTTGAAAACACTCACATGATGCGTGGAATATCACTAACGGGAACAGTTCCATCATGAGCCCCGCCTTCTCCATCCTCCTCCTCACTGCTATCTGATTCCTCACTGGATGAGGAATACTCTATCACTTTCCTGGGAGGCCGGTTGGTTTCCTCATTGGTTCGTAGCTCACGGAGTTCTTTGGCCAGAGCAGTGAGGTCCTTTAGGGAATGAAGTTAGAGGAAGACACAAAGATGATATGCAAGATTTCATTCATGCCTTGATCTGCTTGATTTGGTCTCCAGTGAACAATGAATCCACTAAAATGTAAACAGCATTTCAGGTTTTAAGCCTGCATATGCTACAGCGATTTATCTGTTAGTAGGAGTCATGATAAAAACTTTGTTTTGCACATTTAGGTAATTTAAATGACACTGAAGAGATTACCAGAAACAAACAAATAAGCAAAACATCACAGATAAGCAAATTAACTAAAACATTTTATAAAGCTTTATAAATCAACTCTGAAAGTGGGATAAAAACATCCGCCATCATTTCAAAGAATGATGCACAACTGTATAAACCATCACGTGCACAAGTCAGAGAAATAATAGAATGTTGTAATGCATTACTTTTAAAAGTAACTTTCCCCAACACTGTAGACCAGAACACTGAATAACTGAAGCAGAACTAGGGTTTGTTCCTGAGGCCTGTGCCCTGCATGCAGAAGGTTAGTAGGAATCAGCAGTTCCCGCTCTGGCTCTGTCTTACCAGCTCCTCCTGTCGACAGGCCACCAGGCAGCCAGATAGAGAGAAAACGCCATTGAGAAGCCAGAAGTCAACTCTTGCGCAATTATATTTAAACACTGATGCTTGAAATGAAATGTGAATTTCCATTTTTGACTGAATATACAAGCTAGAGCAATAATCTCATTATTAGACACAAATTAAAAAGTTGTGAGGAACAGAAGCACATTACATTCTTTGTAAATTGTTCGCCAAATCTTTCTCACATAAGTTGACGCATTGAACAGAATGTGACAATATTTGTAAATATGGTTTATACAAACAACTTTAACAAAAATTAGTTAGCTAGAGCAATAATCTCATATTAGACACAAATTAAAAAGTTGTGAGGAACAGAAGCACATTACATTCAATATGTCGTACCGTTGACTACCTGGGTGTCAGTTGACGTAAATGTCTATCCACAAACATACGTGGTCACAAAACCTAGGAAATATGGTTTGCGAAAAACTGTCCGTCATCCAGAACTAAAATGATTTTGCAGCTGATTAAACATGAGCTGAAAAAATTTTCTTTGTAAATTGTTCGCCAAATCTTTCTCACATAAGTTGACGCACTGAACAGAATGTGACAATATTTGTAAATATGGTTTATACAAACAACTTTAACAGAAATTAGTTTTGATCATCTGCTCACATTGATCTAAATGTAACAATTTACGAAAGAATAGTTTTACGAATTTAAACAAGCACATTCTGCTCATCTGAGGTAAATGCAACACTTACATTAATTTCGATTGTCTTGTTCACTCACAATGACTTGTTTGCTACAATTTATGCAAAAAACTTTTGATTCACATGATTTACACAATTTCGTACTGCTTTACAGCTCACATTGACTTTGTTGCATCAATTTATGTAATAATGGCTTTGTGAATGATTTTTGAAGAAACTTGATTTGACTTTAAATGAATGTGACAATTCACGCAGGAGCGGTTTTACAAATAACTTCCACAAATTTGTTTAACTCGTCTGTCTGTATTGAATACAACAATGCATTTATGAAAAAGTTTCTGGCTAAGAATGATAACTGAATTCTCTGTACTTCTAGCCCTCACTGCCTTGTTTTTATTCATGACAAATTAAATAATAGGTCTGCCGATTAAATTGATTAAAGTTATTATTATTAAAGAGTTACAGAAATAATTAACCTTAAAGGGATAGTTCAGCCAAAAATGAAAATTCGGTCATTAATTACTCATTCCTCATGTTGTTCCAAATCCATAAGACCTTTGTTCATCTTCAGAAGACTAATTAAGATATTTTTGATGAAACTGATATTTTTGACCCCGCATAGATAGCAACGCAACTACCACGTTCAAGGCCCAGAAAGGTAGTAAGGACATCATTTGGAACGGCATGAGGGTGAGCAATTAATGACAGAATTTTCATTTTTGGGTGAACTATCCCTTTAAAAAAAGCTACATAATTTCCGGTCCCTTCTTTTACCCCTAAATGTAACATTACTTCTAAACAAAACAAAAAATCCCTTTTTTGTGGCCTAAGACAGATGTAGCCTAGGTAACAGTGAAAACTCTGAGAAGGTGTCAAGGATTACTGACACTGTGAACTGTGACAAATTGGTGCGATGGAGAAATGTGCAGCTAATGATGGTGACTGACACGGCATCTGAAGCTGTGAAAGAGAGCGACAGACAGAAAGATTGGAGGGGAGTTAAGGAATGAGACAGAAATAGATGAGACAGACAGCAAACGAGTGCTTGAATGTGAGGAGCACGAATATGGGCAGAGAGAGATGAAGTGAGCAGATGCCACTAACCTCATCTACGGCTTTCTTATAACTCTGGAGAAAGAGAATCGACCATAGAGAACCACGCGTGGAAGAACAATTGAGCGGATTAGACAAAATGTTAAATGAGAAAATGGTTAGTAACGCAAAGCGGCACACAATCTTTTCAACTTCGAGCCAAGTGCGAACAGATACATATCTAAGCTAGCTAAAGGTTATGGAAAGGTTATGAGTAGGTTAGCTCAAATGAGACTTGATTTACTAGTGATATATTAAAGACCCCACAAAATTGCTGTGTTGACGTACTTCCTGTTTGGGTGAGGAATATTTAATGGCTTTTATAAAACACATCTAGCATATAGGTGATTTAAAAGCTAAAAGGTATTGACTGAAAGCAACAAAACTGTATTTTTGATTTAATGGGGTACTTAATTGATGGTAAAAACATCATGTTTGGAAAGAACACCAACAGCTGTGCAGATCTTAAAAAGATTCTTTCAAATCTTGAAAAGAAGTTATTTCAGGCTTAGATGTTTTCATTTAAGGCTTATCTTGGTCTCAGAAAGCAGTCCTGTGAAAGCAGAAACATTTGCAGCACAGTTAAACTGTGGATTCTGGGAAATGTGTTTCTCACCGCTGGTCGGCTGGGTCTGGTCACCTCCCTGTTCTCCTCCTGGGATTTGGGCTTGGATTCTTGGGACACTGCTGGGGATCCCTCAGGTTTACTGGAGCCTGTGGAGACAATCGAACGTCAAGACTCCCTAGTGCAGGTGCTCAGACTGAGAGAATATTCCAGAGGGTCTCTCACCTCCCACCAGGTTCCTCTCACTGGAGCCGCCCTGAGAGCTGGGCGTGCTAGAACTAGAAGAACTACCACTGCTGGTTCTCTGGAGAGCCGACTCCACGGAAATCCGCAGGTCTGGGTTACTGTGCCAATGGTAGGACACATTCAAACAAGCCACATTCAAACTGAACTCAACTTTTGACAAAAGTAAAGCAAAAGTATAGAGATAAACAGGTGCAAGTCTCAGGAAAAATCATTTATTTATTCAAATATTTTTTCCATTATTTATTTGTCGGGATACTGACAGAAAATGCTGTTTGTGAGTAATAGATAAATAAAAACATGTAATTACAAAGAAAATAAATTTTAAAAAATCATTGGTATTGTAAACTCCAATTGTAGTTGTACCTATTGGGATAATTTAATAATTATTTCTAATTATTTAAATGTTTAAATTATTTACAAAACATAGTATTCACAAGGGCAAGCTTGATCTGCAATAAAATGTGTAAAATGAGTTTAAAAGAAAGATAGAAGTTAATGAAAAGTGGAATATACCTGGCTCGGATCAGATGTGCTCCGGTTCTCGGTCCCAGTCCTCCTGGTCCATTCCCTGGAGAATTTTTTCTCACCAGTGCAGGGGATATGGAAGTGGTCCTTTGGGGCACCTGAAGCATGTTAACAGATGTTAATATGTTACTTTACTAAGATGAACTTTAGAAAAACAGTTTTTTTAAAGGGGTCATATGATGAGATTTCATGTTTACTTTCTCTTTGGAGTGTTCGTGAATAGATAAGATCCCTAAAGTTGCAAAGACTAAAGTCTCAAACCCAAAGAGATATTCTTTATAAAAGTTAA